ATGACAGGCATGAGCCACTGGCACCCAGCTCTGATCCTGGCCTTGACTGTCGGACATCAAGCATCTAGGAGACTCCCTGCCCCAAGGAAGACCTTAGGCAGTCTTTATCATAGAAGATTCTGTCTTCCACCCTACAGTTTTAGAAGCTGGTCAGTCAATCAGTGATTACTGGGTTGAGTTGGCAAGATGAGTCATTTTGGAATTCTTCTAGTGTCCCCCAGATGATAGCTTAAGCCAAGTGTGCTAGCTCCGCAGCTCTCAGCTCTAGGGCTCAGGCTGGAAGTGAGGAAGGGGCTAGAGATGTTGAGTGAAGTAATAGGACAAGATTGAGATGGGATCTTTAAGGATCTAGGGAACACTGGACACCACAGAAATTGGAAAGGTGAGTTTGCAATTCAGGGTAAAGGGCTTTTAAGAAATACTGCAGAGGGAATTCATTTGATAACTCTGAAAAAGAGTGAGTGCATTTCGAATTACCCATTGGTGTCACAATTTTGCCTCTGTTTCTTTTCCTTTCTACACCATATCACGGTAACACTTGCCATCGATGGGAACTAGTACTCCACTTAGTGATTTCCTGACCTACACAGCTGGGGATCTGCCCTTCAATCCCTCCAGAATTGCGACTGCCCCTTCCCCTCTATATCTCACCCCAATGTAAGGATGAGGGGACTGAGGCTCACAGAGGGCATATGGCTTTCCTAAAGCCACTGCTGGTTAGGGGCAGAGCTGGGCTTCAAAGGAAGCCCTTTGTGCCACACCCTGCATGTAATAAGACATTGCTGGGGAGCAGAGAACTGTCCAAGTGCACACTTTTCAGTGGATGCTTTGGTGGGCTGAATGGTTTCACCTCTCCAAAAAGAAAAGTGTTCATATCCTACCCCTTTAGGACCCATGACTGTGATGTGTTTTAGCAAAGGGTCTTACGACATAATCTGAAGATCTTGAGCTAAGATCAGGTGCTTTTCTAAGTGAATACACAGGGAAAGTCTGAGATGCAGAGCCAGAGGCAGGGATAGGACTTACATTAGCACATGACAAACAGTGCCTGGGCCACCAGCGGCTGGAGAAAGGGTGAAGAGAGCCTCTAAAAGGGCGAACCCAGCCAGCACCTTGATTTGGGATTATGGTTCCCAGAACTATGGAACTATTGGGTTTTGTTTGTCTGTTTTTATGCCAGCACTGAGGCTCAAACTCAGGGCCTCTTGCTCTTCCTTGGCTTTTTTGCTCAAGTCTGATGCTCTATCACTTGAGTTGTACCTTCAGCTTTTTGGTGATTAATAGGAGATAAGAGTCCCAGGGACTTATTTTCTGTCTGGGGCTAGCTTTGAAGTGGGATTCTCAAATTTCAGCCTCCCAAGTAGCTAAGAGTATAGGCGTGAGCCACCGGGTCCTGGTACGTTTCTAGTGTGTTAAGACACCAGGTTTATGGCAATTTCTCCAGCAGCTGTAGGAAACCAATACTGACACTAACTCCGAAACTCTCCCAGCCAGGCTGTGTGAGCTGTCGGCTTGCCCCAGCAAACCCACTTGGCGTGTAGCTCAGGGGGTGTGAGACTCAGAGAGGTGGGGGTGGGAGATACTGGAATGACATAGTCCCTCAGCAATGACACAAAGCAAGGACCAGCTGGCTCCTGTCTAGCCCTGGACAGCCAACCTCTCACCCCTCTGCCCTTCCCCTGTGACACCTACCTTTGTTTTTATGCTTGGTTTCACCATACACCAAAGAAGAATGATGCTTCAGTGGGCCTGAGCAGAGGGAAGCGGCCATAGCGACATCATCATCCGTCAGGAGGAATTTATGAAGCCAGTTACACCTGTGCCAGGAAGTGGGCAGCGCTCAGCCTCTAGTAACTGCCAGCCTTTCAGCCTGGTGGCCCATCATTTTCCTACTTAATAGGATGTCTTCAGGCAGTTAAAGGTAACACAATTAAACACAACAAGAAAACATAATAGTACTTTGTCTTTCAAAGCCCTTCCTTTCATTCTGAGAGCTCAGGCAGCTTTATGGCCCTTGGGAAGCTTCCTCTTACTCCTTAGATGGATGAATTGAGATCCTGAACAGGAAGAGAGCCAGAACGGAGGCTGGCCAAAGTATCAGGTAAGGCTGCCAGGCAAGAGTTTGGTTCTGATGGTCTTTTGTGGATCTGAAAGATCACCAGACTTTAATTGGAAGCTTTTCAATTATATCCTTCTGCATTTTCTTGGAGGTGGTCAGAAGAGATGGCCTGCCCAGCTTGGTGGACATAAAAGTTTGGCAGGGCCCTATCTCAGATAGTACTCTATTTCAGGGAGCTAGAGTACTACATGGTGGTCCTAGCTACTCAGGAGGCTGAGATCTGAGGATTATGACTTGAAGCCTGACAGACAAATCTGTGAGACTCTTATTTCCAATTAGCCAGCAAAAATGCTGGAAGTAGAGGTGTGACTCAAGTGATAGAGCACCAGCTCTGAGCAAAAAAAGCCTAGCAGGAACACAAGGCTCTGAGTGCAAGCTCCAGTAGTGGGGCACACACACACACACACACACACACACACACACACACACACACACACACACACACTGAATGGCAGGGTTCCTTACTTGACCTGGGACCATGCAGAGGTCTGAGCCTAACTTGTCTATCTACTTGCTATGTGACTTTAGACAAGTCACTTGCCTTGTCGGGGTTTCAGTATCCTTGCTTGTAAAACCAGAGTGTGGGAGTTGATGCTCTCAAATCTTAAGGTGCATCTAATCACTGAGGAATCTTGCTAAATGCAGATTCTGGGGTAGCAGGTCTGAGGCGGGGCCTAAGGCTCTGCATTTCTCACAAGCTCCCAATGGATGCCACGTTGCAGGTCTTCTGAGCACACTTGAAGCCAGTCTCAGGCAGGCCATTCAATCCTGATCTGTAAGATGCCATCACCCCATTGTTACCACCTTCCTCAGGCTGCTGTTGGAAGAACAAATAGGCTAATGTGTATAAGGGCACATTGCAGGCTATACCATCCATCTTCTGTAAACATAGATCTTCTTTAAAAAAAAAAGATTACCAGGGCAGGGAATGTGGCTTAGTGGTAACATTCTTGCCTAGTGTGCATGAGGCCCTGGGTTCGATTCCTCAGAATCATATAAACAAAATAATAAAAATTTAAAAACATGATTACCAATAATATGATCAAAACTTGATATTTGGGGCAGGGTGGGGGGAGGCACTGGTGGCTCACACCTGTCATCCTAGCTACTCAGGAGGAGATCTGAGGATCTGAGGATCATAGTCCAAGGCCAGTCTGGGTAGAAAAGTCCGTGAGACTCTTATCTCTAATTAACCCAGCAAAACAATTGGCCGTGGAGCTGTGGCTCACGTGGAAAAGCACACCAGCCTTGAGTGAAGGCTTGGTGTTCAGAGCCGAAGGAGTTGGCTCCAGATCAAGTTCCAGCATCTCACCAGCTAAGAACTCCCCAGGCAAGCACTGCTCAAGCGGGAAGTAAACTGACCTTGTGGATTTGTTGGAAGGGTCAAAAATAAGAGGATGGAGAGCAGCAGGGCACAGAGGATCCTGGGCATGGAGGACCACCTGTCACCTGTCTTCCTGTTAACCATCAGAAGTCAGGAAGATGAGCTCTAGTGAGCTAAGCTGCTGGGACCTGAGACAATGGTCACTAGTCCCCAGGTTGCTCCTACAACACCAGGCGCCTCCACTTTCCTCCCAGTTCTAGAGACTGGACCACCACATCCTCACGCCTCCCCCACCCGCACTGGGAGGGTCTGTGGACATGGGCCTGACCAACCACACCCTAGCACTGGGGCTGTGTGCAGGAGGGAGGCCACTTGGCTTGAGTCAGGGAGTTCCGCCTTTCTCTTCCGGTGGAAACCAGCCTGCTTCCTAAAGGTGCTCTGGGCTTGGCGGGAGCAGCAGCCAGTCTCCCTGGCATGGCCCCTCAGTCCCCCATGATACACAGCTTCCCACCCTCTCCCAGGCCTGGACAAAGACCTCCTTTCTGCAGGCCCTGGATTTCCCTTTTCTCATTCTTTCCCCTAGCATGAGCCACATGCAGACAGACAATGAGGTATTGGAGAGCAGCAGGCTCTGTGCAGCCCTCTGGACCAGGCCTGCCCTCACTCCCCCAACCCGTGGCAGTGAAGTCTGGCTAGGTCTAAACAGAACAATTACCCTAATTGCTGTTTGTGCTAATTATATTGTCATCATTGGTCTGAAGGTAGCATGGGATTACTCACTCCGCTGGCCATGGAACAGGAGCCTTGCTGCAGGCCAGAGCCCAAGCTGTTGAGGGGTTGGGCCAAAATGCCGGTAGGACCTCCTGTGCCCAGCTCCTCTGTGTCTCTGTCAACCATGCCTCCCACTTTAGGCCTTAAGGACCCTTGACCCACAAGGAGATACCTTGTAGTTCCTAGATAGGAAGATTCAAGTGTATGTATGTTCTGTGTTCCCATAACATATTTCAGTGTGCAACCCCCCCCCCACCCCGAATTCTCTATAATCAGTTCTGCTGAACTGAACTCACAGGCCCTTTCTGATGGTAGTGGTGGAAGGTAACAGCCAACGACCAAGCAAACTTGCTCACTTAAGGTAACTGAGTTAGCCTGGATTCATTCAATTGTTTGGTTGAGTCAGCAATTCAAAATGGAAACACCCTATCAGAGCTGTTCTTGGTCATCCTGAAGGGAGTTTCCTCTTTCCTCCTGTCCCAAATGTCTGTCTGAGGGAGAAGAGCAGTTCCAATCTGTCTTGTTTTTAGAATCATTTGCTGTTTGAGCTAAGGGATCAAGAGAGCTCTCAGGGACAATGGCCGGACCCCATGCCTGCCTTGCTGGTCCTGGGTGCTGCTTTTGACAGGAACTCGTCCTTGCTGGGGTGTGCCAGCCTGCAGTGATCTGGCTGCCTTGCTCACTCCAACAGTAACTCCCTGGCAAATCTGCCAGTCAGCATTCTCAGCCTCATTTGTATGTGGAGCATGTGGAAGCCTCTAGATACCCTGCATGCCTCATGAAGGCTTAAGGAGTCTCCCTCAGTTGTCTGTCATCTGCTGTTCTTCCCACGAAGACCCCGAGCATGCTGAGCGACTTGTGATTGTCTAGGTCTATGTCCTGCAAGGTGAGACACGATTTTGTATAAGGATCACCCACCAAACCATTCTCTGGGTGTTCTCACTTGAAGGCACATCACCTCCCCTCTCTTCTCTGCTCTTGAACCTGGTGGTGGAGAGTGGAAGAAGCTCCCGGTCTCCTCAGTCAGGATGCAGAACGGTTTTCCTTCTCTTTCCTCTTCTTGCCCAGTGGAATTCTGTCTGCCTCATCCTTTCTTCTACATCTGTCCATGGGCAGTAGCTTTCTGACTTAGCCTAATCACAAGAGAACTACAGGGAAAGGAATGGGGGTGGGGAAAACCCTGGGGATGATATCAGGAGAGATTTGAGATTCACCAACTGCACTTCACAGAAAAGTCAAAGCAAGCTGGGAATGAGCTGGGCTCATTCGTTTCTGTCCCAACATCTCCTTCCTAGCTATGCCTTTTCTAGGCAAGAGATGTAGGAAAGGTTCGGGGCAAAGCTGGAGATTATCACATGCCACACAAAGGAAAATCTGCACTGTTACGCAGGAGTCATAAAAGTGATATTGGACTGTTGGGGTTCAACCTTCTGAATGACTCTCCTTTCCAAATTCACCTGGGTACAACAGCTCATTTTTGTCCATAGGTAGATAGATACACACACACACACACACACACACACACACACACACACACACACACACACACATACATACATAGATGAGAGAGAAAGAGAGTCAGTCTTGGGGCTTGAACTCAGGGCCTTGTGCTTGAGCTTTTTTGCTCAAGGCAAAAAAGTACTCTACCACTTGAGTCACAGCTCTACTTCTGCTGATTAATCAGAGATAAGAGTCTCATAGATTCTCCTGCTTGAGCTGCCTTCAAACTGTGATCCTCAGATCTCAGCCTCTGTAAAAGCGAGGATTACAGGTCTGAGGCACTGTCACCAGTTTTTGTCCACTTTATTAATAGCATAAAGAACCCTGCTGCTGAGAGAGAGAGAGAAAGAAAGAGAGAGAGAGAGAGAGAGGAGAGAAAGATTTAGTAGAGCCACAAGAATAAAGAGATGGTGTGAGCCTCTGTAGACTTCTAGCTGGCCACTTGGGCAGGCTTTTGGCACCCACATGTTTGGGTGCCATGATAACAAACCACGGACTGTTTTGAGCAAGGGCGGGGCCTCGGCTTCGGAGAATAGAAGCAGTGATGACAGCACCTCCATTTACTGGGTGACTCCACCAACCTGGCTCTCATCATGGTCATGTCTCTTCTGGCCAGCAGCCAGTGTCCACCCTCTCTCCGACGCCTCCTGTGGACACTTCCCTGTGGACGAAACCTCTGTGAGTAATGAGTCACACTGGGACCCAGACATGGTACATGGGAGTCTGGCGGTAGTGGAAAGAGCCAGTGGGCCGGACCGACTTTTCCCAGGGTGAGAGCCTCATTCTGGAAACAGCCCTGCCAAGCTGAGGACCCAACACCTGCGCACAGACAGGAACGGTGCTGGCTCCCGGAGGGCTCCGGGGGCAGCTCTGCGTGTGGGAAGCCAGTGGTCACTTCTACAGAGGCTACCAGTTCCATTGTCTGTCACTCGTCAGGCCTCGTATTGCTTATACTGACTCCAAATGAGAGAACATTGGAATGGTCTGATGATAGAACTTTTGTTTTCCCAAAGGCCCACTTCAAGCCAACGAGTGTCACAGGAGATAGAGCGCTTGCCTAGCATGTGCAAGGCCCTGGGCTGTGTTCCCAGGCCCCTCAAAGCACGCAAAACAACAACAACTCATTTTTAGACTCCCTTCAGGTCTGGAATGCGGGCTTTGAAGGACACCTGAGTGTGTGTGTGTGTGTGTGTGTGTGTGTGAGCGCGTGCGCGCGTGCTGGCACTACAGCTTGAACTCAGGCCCTCACACTCTCGCTTGGCTTTTTCACTCAAGGCTAACGTTCTACTACTTGAGCTACAGCTCCACTTCCAACTTTTTGCTGTTAATTGGAGGTAAGAGTCTCATGGATTTCTCCTTCCCAGGCTGGCTTCTAAGTCCCCCCCACCCCCACCTCCCTAGGAACCAGGGTTACAGACCTGAGCTACCAGAGCCTAGCTCCAACCGATTAATGAACACTTTTTAATCATGGTAAAGAATAGGTCACACAAAAGCCACTATTTAAGTTATTTTAAGTTAGTGCATTTATATCGGGAGGAACAACAGTGCTCTCCATCTCCAGATCTTAGGTCATCCTAAACTGAAAGTTACCCCCCTCCCATCTGCCCCCCTACCCTCTCAGACCCTGGCAGCCACATTCTACTTGCTGTTGCTGTGATTCCTCTATTCTATGAATCTCTGCCAAGTAGACTCACATCGTGCTTGTTATTTCAGTCTGGGTTATTCAGCACAGCATAAAATATCCTCCAAGTTCCAGCATGTTATAGCATGTGGCAGAATTTCCTTCCTCTTTAAGGCTGAATAATATTCCACGGTGTGTACAGACCCTATTTTGTTATTCTTATTTTCCTCTATCAATGGACACCTGGGTTATCTCCACCTTTCGGTCTTTGTGAATAATAGCAGTATTATACAACTATATAGCCAGCTCCCCGTTTTCCATTCGTATTGTCTGACACGCAAGCATTTCTCCCACTTTTCACTCTGCCACTCCACCCTGTTTAGTTGCATTACCTACAAAGCCTTCTCCATTTCTACCTTTCAAGTCCTTTAGCTTGCTCAATTCCAAGAGTCTGCCTGCTACTAACTTACACTAAGTCCTGGAGAGGGTGTCTCCGTGAGGGGAGGGGGTTGGATGTGCGTGTCTCCTCCAGGTGTAAAGCTTGCTCTACAAAACTCCACAGCACACACCTATCCCATCAAGAGCGGCTTTCTAGAACCACCCACCAGGTATTACACACCTGCTCTGCTTCCCTATGCTTTACGTTTCTCTCCCCACTTCACACCAAGTTATGTTTTCTGAGTAATTTTCATTTCTCTCACTGTAATTAAAGCACATTGTTATCTTGTGTTGTCCTCAATAAGCTCCCAGAACAACCCCTCGGAGCCCTCTGTAATTATACATTTAGAAGTTCTCTAGGACCTGGGAAGTTCATATAGCTCCAGCCTCCAATCACCGCATTCAAAACTCAGACATCCGTTCTGTGGGCCTGTGCCCAGAACATGCCAGGGAGAAGCACCAAGACTGGAGAGGAATGAAGCGTGGCCTTGTCTCTGGGGAGGCCGTAGGCAGGAGGGCAGGATTTATGGGCATGAGGCAATCCAGGGAACAATACAAGACAGATGTGATTCATCTGCTTTATATCAAAGCAAAGAGAGGGTGTGGACCGAGCTGCTCATGTTAGCATAAGCAATATGAAAAGAAATAGCACAGCAACTATGAGAACATGGTAGGGGGCAGGGCATGGGAAGAAAGGCTGGGATCGGGCCGGAACACAGCATGGAAAAGCTAGGCGAAGAATCGAGTCTGAAAGAAAACTTAAGCCAAATGCAGAAAGAAAATTCCTCACTAGTGTTTCATGTGTCAAAGTGTGTTTATGGGGTATGAATTCAAGGACTAATTATAAAACCCAATGAGATGAAAAGAGATATCGGTGTTAGGAAAACAAATTGAGAAGGAAAATACAATTACCTATCTAGTAAGTGATTTCAAAAGTAACCGCCAAGGCTTAAGGTAGAATTGGCAGCATGGGAAGGCTTGAAGCCATCCCAATAAACGCAGAGGAAAACTGAGATTGGAACAGCTAGAGAAAAAATGGCAGTTTGGAGATGAGGCTCAAGTGATAGAGCAACAGCCTTGAGTAAAATAAGCTAAGTGGGAACTCAAGACTGAGTTCAAATCCCAGTACTAGCACAAATGGAAGTTAAATGATTTTTTAAAGCAAACAAATAAATATAAGAATAATTATCTGGAGGTATAGCTCAAGTGGTAGAGTACCAGCCATGCAAGCATGATCACAAGATCCATGAATTCAAGTCCCGGTGCTGGCAGATGTGTAAGCTCATTGTGAACAGATATTCAGTGAGCTCTGGCTGACTCAAGCTAAGGAGCCTGGGAACAGAGGACCCAGGTGAGAAAGGCTGGTGGCTAACCTTGGCTCCATTTAGAGACACATTTGTTGCAGAGCAAAACTATAAATGTGTAACACTCCTAAGAAAATGATGTAAGCAACAAAAATCAGGAGGTGGAAGAAGGGCAGGGCAGGCACGGAAGCATAAGAGACCATTTCTTCTTTCACACTAGGTCATCAGCCAGATGACATAAAATAAAAGCATAATTTGAAAAAAATCGATGACTATAGCCTATAGAATGAATTTTTGAGGGAAAGATACTGAGGTTTGAACTCATAGCCTCGTCTTGAAATGATTTTTAAAATAACTTTTTATGAGCTGGGTGCTGGTAGCTTATGCCTATAACCCTGGCCTCCTTCTGGAGCCCAGTTGACAGTCTGGGGACAGGAATGAATGGGATCCAGGAGAAGCTTATTTTTTATTTTTATTCATTTATTCCGATGCTGGTTCTGGAGTTTGAGCTCAAGTGTTCTTGCTCTTGCTTGGATTTCATACACACACACACACACACACACAAATTTGGCACTCAAACACAAGCCACACCTCCATTTCTCATGAATTTTTCTGCCTAAGCTGGCTTTAAACCACGATCTCAGATCTCAGCCTCCTAAATAGTTAGGATTAGCAGTGCCCAGCTCCAGGGGAAGGCTTCTGGAGGCTGCAAGGCTTGAGCTGAGTCTTACAAAATGGGAAGGGCTTGGAGTGGAGGAGGGAGGCGTGTCTTTGCCAGGTATCACATGGATTGACCTGTCTAGGCAGATGGAGAAGTTAGCACAGACTCCATTTTAAGAAGCAAGAGGGAGAATGCATGGGAAGAACATGCTAGACAGAAGCACCAAGCACTGGTCCTTCAGGGTAGATGGGAGACCTCCGGATAGTGGGAGAGCCATTGGCAGTGTGGAGACCTGTCCCCAGAGGCCTAACCCGAATAGAACTCTGAGAGAACACATTCCAGCAGGATGAACCAGGTCCCCATGAAAGGCTCCGAGGTAGAACCTTGTTACTGTGAGAAAAAGGACGGTGGGTGTCCTCAGAACTAAATCCCGCGGCAACAAGACCAGACAGGAAATGGCGCAGTCACGGTTCGATGTGGGGACCAGCAATCAGCAGTGGAAAGAAGCCTCGATTTGGGTTGCAGGCCCTGTGCTGAAGTCCCCACGTCTAAGAGAGGAGAGGCCAGGGTGGAAGCTGTGGTAGTAGCTAAGGTCATGGTGTTTACACCCACCCAGACCTGCAGGGCATGAAGACTCAGCTCTCCACTGGGGTCATGCTCTCAGACATCATAAATAGCTCTCCTGGCTCCTTTTGCCTCCCAAAAGGTCATTAAGTCATTAATTATACAGCAAGTGGCAATAAAATGGTCTTGGTCTTCCTCATCTTCCCCCAGCTCAGGGCTTCAGGATTCAAGGGCTCTATCTGGAGCCAGCTCCCTTGCTCCATCTGTCCTTTGCCATATGCATTGGGTAACTTCCTGAATAGAGGCAGAACTGTCAGAGCACAGGAGTGCCAGCCCCTCTACCTACCCACTGGATGACCATGGCAAAAGCATTCAGTCCTTCTCACCACAAACACCAGGGATGAATCTGAACCCAGACGTGCAAAGGGACTCAGAATGTCCCCAGCAAACATCGGGCTGCTCACCATTGCCTTGATCTGTGATGTCCATATCTTGTCTCTCTCCAGGGACAGAATTCCTCATCCCACTCCCCAGTCTGAGATGCTGAAATAACCACATGGGACACGTGGAAGCATCCAGGTACCGAAGCCCATTCGATTTGAGTGGCATCACGGCTCTGCCTCTCACTAATCTTGGGATCCAGGTGAACTGGTCAACCTCAGTTTTCTCAGACATTAAATGGCGATAAGATTATCTACCGCATGTGCCTGTCATGAGGTTTAGACAAGATGGCACGGATAAGGTGTTTCCTTATTGTCCTGTTTGCTGCTTCCTCCTCGCTCCTGGCTCTCCTGAGCCTGGATGCACTGGTGGCCTAGGGGCAGTGATGCTTCCTCTTGGCCCTCAGTTCTTCCTTATCTCTGACAGGCTACGAGTTGAGCCCAACGTGTAAGCCATTGGTCATCTGCCCTGCCCTGACCCCACATTCTGCCAAGCCCCATGCTAGACAGAGCCCTAGGATTCTGGAATGAGAGAGAAATCCATGGGAGATATATACAGATCACTGATGTCCAAAAGGAAGAGCATATGATCCATATATATAATTTTCTAACATACTCAAAAATGTTTTATTA